ATGACCTGCAAGAGAAATTGCAACAAGACGTCTGACCCAAAAGCCGCTGCTCCCGAATATGAAAGAAAAATAAGTATAAACCATACAAAGCGGGGCTAACTCATTATTTACGTGCCGGAGATGTCAATCGAAGATTAGAATTTTGTAGATGATATTTAAAAAAATTAAATAATCTGCTGTTTGTTCAAAATGTTATCTGGACCGATGAAGTCTCTGAGTGTTCAAAGAAGATTGGGGTTCAATGTATGGTGTGCCCTTTTAGATAATAGAATTTTGGCATATAGTATCTACCATAAAAACTTAAACTCAGGGAAATACCTCAATATATTAAGGCAGCACATTGAGCCTTTGGTCGACAATTTGCCACTAAATATGTCTCAAATGATATATTTTCAATATGACGGAGCACCAGCACATAATGCCAGAGTTGTTAGTGAATTTTTAAATACTACTACAAACTCAAGGACAGTAGAATCTAACAGGACTGCTACATCCATTGTTGTGACAGCCTACCCGCAAACTACGTCACACCATTTTCCACGCCCAGCTGTTGTTATGGTCTATGCGTTTGCTGTGTGTTTTTAGAGGTTATATCCTAGACGTATTCATATTAGTTTTGAAGTTTTATGTTTTTAGACGTATTAATGTCTATCATATAACCTCTAAAAACATAGACAGTTACCAGGCGTGGCAAATAGTGTGACGTAGAGTGCGGGCAACCAACCCGTAGTCGACTACAAAAATACAATGGATGTAGCAGTCCTGTTAGATTCTACTGTCCTTGCTACAAACTTTGGCAATAATTGGAAACAATGCTTTCCCTCATGGTATGGTTATCACCATAACAACATTAAGTTTTAAATACATACAATAGTTTTAGAAAGAACAAAAAAAATTGATACATTATATTCCATCATAGTATGTATGGTTATCACCATAGCAACATTAACTTTTAAATACATACATTAGATTTAGATAGAACAAAATGAATTTTTGTTAATTATTCAATAACTATAAGAAATATACCCCACAAACTATATATATTTGTTATCAGAAGAAAATAACAAATTATTTTAAGTCATAGCCAACTATGGTTTCCATTTAAAAAAATAAAGTTACGTCTAAAATCTCGAAAATAAAAGATGGGAAAAAAATTCTACCTACGCCACTGAATTCTTCGTAAAAAGTTGCCCATATAATGTTTTATTTATAATACTCCATCTTTGATAATAAGTGAGATATTCGCGATTGTCGTTTTCGCAAAATTTTCAGTTTTTGCCGATAGGGCGAAAACAAAAGACGATAGCTGTTCGGAGTTTTCGGCATTAGCATTTTCTCGAAAAACGAGATCATGACATGTAAGCTACTTTTTTTCTATCTCTTTTAGTTTCGGAGATGGCCTATGTGGACATCGAAATTGGGACACCCTGTACAACATTTTTTTCTCCAACACCTTTAGTTATTGAGTTATGATAGACTGTAGTAACAAAAACCATCAATTTTGATAGAACTCAAAAATAACTAAATAAGTTACAATTGGACCGCGTTATACATCACTTGACTAAGCGACATTTTATCGCTTATACAGAAAGACTTAAAATACTATTTGTTTTAAAGGATAAAGCTAAGCGCCAATCACATTATACGATTTTAAGTCCGATTTGCATCATACGTTTAAGAACCGACTTAGATACGATTTTTATTGCACTAAAACTAGAACTAACACTAGACCCAGAACTAGAAATATTCGGGTTTAGCCGTGCGTCTGAAGACGTACATCCTAATACATCCTATTAATTTGGGTACCGTTTAACGTCAACCATTTTGACCTTATTTTGAGGAATCAATTTGAGAAAATCATCAATTTTGATATGTTGTAGATTTCCAGGTTCTAGCTAGAATATAATCATAATGGAGCTATATCTGGTTATGAATTGTATATTCTTGCATCATCATAAACAATTTATGTTCAACATTTTTTGCTCCAACACCTTTAGTTATTAAGTTATGATAGACTTTAGTCATGAAAACCATCAATTTTAATATGTTGTGGATTTTCAGATCCTAGCTAGAATATAATCATAATTGAGCTATATCTGGTTATGGTTTGTGTATTCTTGCATCATTATAAACAATTTATGTACAACATTTTTTGTTCTAACCCCATTAGTTATTGAGTTATGATAGACTTTAGTCATGAAAACCATCAAATTTAATATGTTGTGGATTTTCAGATCCTAGCTAAAATATAATCATAATTGAGCTATATCTGGCTATGGTTTGTGTATTCTTGCATCATTATAAACAATTTATGTACAACATTTTTTGTTCTAACCCCATTAGTTATTGAGTTATGATCGACTTTAGTTACGAAAACCGTCAATTTTGATATGTTGTGGATTTCCAGGTTCTAGTTAGAATACAATCATAACTGAGCTATATCTGGTTATTGAGTGTGTAATTTTGCATTATTATAAACAATTTATGTACAACATTTTTTGCTCCAACACTTTTAGTTATTGAGTTATGATCGACTTTAGTCATGAAAACCATCAATTTTTATATGTTGTGGATTTCCAGATCCTAGCTAGAATATAATCATAATTGAGCTATATCTGGCTATGGTTTGTGTATTCTTGCATCATTATAAACAATTTATGTACAACATTTTTTGTTCTAACCCCATTAGTTATTGAGTTATGATCGACTTTAGTAACGAACACCATCAATTTTGATATGTTGTGGATTTCCAGGTTCTAGCTAGAATATAATCATAACTGAGCTATATCTGGTTATTGAGTGTGTATTTTTGCATTATTATAAGCAATTTATGTACAACATTTTTTGCTCCAACACTTTTAGTTATTGAGTTATGATCGACTTTAGTCATGAAAACCATCAATTTTTATATGTTGTAGATTTCCAGATCCTAGCTAGAATATAATCATATTGAGCTATATCTGGCTATGGTTTGTGTATTCTTGCATCATTATAAACAATTTAGGTACAACATTTTTTGTTCTAACCCCATTAGTTATTGAGTTATGATCGACTTTAGTTACGAAAACCATCAACATTAATATTAATGGAAATATTCCACTTAAATCACTTCCGGTTTGAAACGTCAACGTCAATTTTGACATATTTGTCATCTTCATTAAAAAGCCTTTAAATTGAGTCCAAAGATGATGCACTTATCTCAAAAAACAAAAAAGTTAGAATAAAAAACATTAAACCCGAAGTTAGAAACAATGAAGCTTAATTTTTGATTTTTTTATTATATTTCCGTTTTTGTGACAAATTTTAACATATTTTATGATAATTAAGATGTCAGAATGATATTGACATTTCAAACCGGAAGTTGTTTACATCTTGATTATCATGTTTGGACTTATTTTAAAGATTTTTCACGACGATTACAAATATGTCAAAATTGACGTTGACATTCTTAACCGGAAGTTGACCATAACTTCATTAATATTGAAGATAAATATCTCGTGTTTGCACTCATTTTAAAGGGTTTTTAATGAAGATTATAAATATGTCAAAATTGAGGTTGACATTTTAAACCTGAAGTTAGTTATCATATAATAAAAGTTTTATATCTGAAGTTATAGTAGACGCCACGAGAGCTGGCAGTAAATCATCGTTTTCCGCTCTTATAAATGCCATACGTAGTTCACAAACCGCTAGAGAGTAATGTGTGTTAGAAAGAGATAGCATTAGTTTAATATGTCTGCTGTACAATTCAAATGGCCACTATGAAAAAGTATGTCTGTTCTTCTAAGGGATGTAACTCTATAATTATAACCTCAAATCGAAACGTCTTGTGAGCGTTGTCATGAATCTGTTAGTGTTTTCATAAGCCGAAAATATTTTCTTTGAAAGGAAAATCATTAAATATCTTTGACAATGTTTGACATATAACCTCCATTACTGACATAACCTACATTTAAATGTATGTGGTGAAATAATCTAAGTCGTACGTCCATATCTTGATTCATACCATTTTTAAGCGATCTGTCACTGCCAGCTCTCGTGGTTTCTACTATAATCTAGTGTTAGTCACTTTTCCGCACTTTCTTTTTATTTTTAACGTGTTTTTTGGGTCATTTCACATGGATTAAAAAAATCGTCGACTTTTAAGCCACATGATGATTCTAGAATTTTTCCCAAGTTTCTTAATATTTCTTTTGTTAAAAAAGAGCGTTCTTAAATTTTAACTTGTAACACTTCGTCCTTAATGTCACTTTACAACTTTTTAAACTTTAATTTTGTAAATTAGTAACTAATAATCTTCTTAATAATCGACTTTGATATGTGATCTTTTTTAACAAAACAAAAAGAAATATTAAGAAACTTGTTTGTAAAATGGATAAGATGAGAGATGTTAATCTATTTGTAGAGTCTCTGAAGATGTCCAAGGGCCGAAACTGGTTAGATGTAAATTCTATATAAAATAAAAACCAGTTTAAAAGTAAATAATCAAACTCTAGATTATTTTCTTCAAAAATTTTTCCACGAATCGTCATCATTTTATCTCTAGTTGTAGTGATTAAATTTATGTTACGACTTACAGAAACACCCTGTATAATCGTAAAACATACCAAGCGGCTTCTGTGATAGCTGTCATCAAAATCCCGTTTTTCTCAACATTATTGATTTATCGCTTAGTCAAGTGATGCATAACGCGGTCCAATTGTGTTTTAGTTATGTTTTATCCCTATTTAATCTTGTATGATGGATTAATTTCAAACTTATTCCATGTTCATCTAATCAATAATTTTAATTAAATCTTCTGTTAGCTAATTCGTTAGTGTAGTTGGTTTAGCTACTAGTTAAATTATGCTATACGAAGTTATTCCTAGGCCAAACTTTACATATTCTAGTTTAATATTAACTCATATCACTAAGTTGTTTTATAAAAGTTAAATTAGGTCATTTTGACGTAACCAAATTATTTCTTCTTTATTAATACAACTCTTTTTTTGTCATTTCAGTAGATACCTTCTCTGGTAATACATTAAACTTTTGGCGTTTGGATAGAAAACAAATGGGTGCCTACCTGTGCATAGCGAGCAACGAGGTTCCACCGGCAGTTAGCAAAAGAATCTCCCTCTCCGTGAACTGTAAGTCCCCTCAGTTATAGGGAGCTTTGTCCCCTCATCGTACCTTTCTCTTATCCTGCCACCAAGCGTGTGTGCTCGAAGAGTCCGCTCCTATAACTTCCCCAAGATAACAGAGTGAGTGAGAGAGAAAGAAACACCCACCCACTGGCAATAATTATAGAACAACTTCGGGCAGTAGCCGTAACTTACCTGTGTTCTCTTCGTTCCCTCGCGTTTTCGCAGTTGCACCGACGATCAGAGTTCCGAACCAGCTGCTAGGGACGCCGTTGAACACGGACGTTCAGTTGGAGTGTTACGTGGAGGCGTACCCAAATACCATCAACTACTGGATCAGGAATAGGGGCGAGATGCTGTTGAACGGGTAAGAAGATGGTGGATGAGTCGTTTTAGTTGAAAGAAATTCGCCTTTGGGGCATCTTTTTATGTTAGAAAGTCGTTCGTCTCTGAGTCGTTCGTCTCCACCGGCTTAATTCCGTGGAGATTTTCGTTCGGAGGAGGTGTTAAGGAGATGAACGACGGCGCCGTTTTTAACGATTTTTGGAAACCCTCCTTTGTCTTTAGTAATGGCGATAAGTCACGCCCCAAGGATTTTTTTTTCTTACACTCAACGAAAAATTATTCATTTTTGATAAGGTTTTATTAATTTCAAAAACTACCGAAATTTACTTCAAGATTTCGTAATGAGATAAGGATCAATATTTGTGATTGAACGTGTATGTTTTTTAATTATTACACCAGTAAGGTTTTGTTTCAATTAAGGCTGATTTGTTACCAGCTCTAGCTACCGCATCGATCTTCTCACTACCACTTACGCCAGCGTAACCAGGTAGGATTAAGGACAACTTGCAACCATCATCCAGAACCGAAATCAATTTATATGTGGACACATATCTGCTGACTTCAGAGAGGTTTTTCTAGCAACTCAGGTTTGCCATTCAGGGAGTAAAGTTTCTGAGTGTCGTTCTGCAAAAATATCCCAACCTAGAGACATATGTAAAATTTATCAAATTTTCATATTTTTTTTCAATATTGACACATCTGAGAGCAAAGTGCAAGATAGCAATAATGTTAAGAATAAAATTTGTTATAACTTTTGTTCCAAAAGCTTTTTTATATCATGCTCCGTTTCCCAAGTGTTACCATTAATAATTTGAAAAAGTAACAAATTCATCCAATTTTCTTATTCTCGTGTTTTTCTCAATATTGACGCATCTGAGAGCAAAAATAAAGGAGAGCAATATTGTTAAGAATATAATTTGCTACAACTATTGTTCTAAAAGTTTTTTGTAATATGCTCCGATTCCCCAGTTGTTAGCATTAACAACTGCAAAGAAAAAATGAACTCATCAAATTTTCACATTATCGTACTTCTCTCGATATTATACGCATCTGATAGCAAAAGTGCAAGAGAGCAATATTGTTGTTATTATCTATTGTTCCAAAAGTCTTTTTTGTAATATGCTCCGTTTCCTGAATGCTTCCATTAACAACTTGAAAAAGCAACAAATTCATCCAGTTTTCATATTTTGGTACTTTTCTCGATATTTACGCATCTGAGAGTAAAAGTAAAGGAGAGCAATATTGTTAACAATACCATTTGCAATTACTATTGTTCCAAAAGGTTTTTTGTAATATGCTCCTTTCCCCGAATGTTACCATTAACAACTTGAAAAAGCCAAAAATTACTCCAGTTTTCATATTTTGGTATTTTTCTCGATATTTACGCATCTCAGAGCAAAAATGCAAGAGAGCAATATTGTTAACAATAACAATAGTTCCAAAAGTTTTTTTATAATATGCTCCGTTTCCCGAATGTTACCATTAACAGTTTGAAAAAGCAACCAATTCATCCCGTTTTGATATTTTCGTATTTTTTTCGATATTTACGCATCTGAGAGCAAAAGTAAAGGAGAGCAATATTGTTTACAGTAACATTTGCAATAACTATTGTTCCAAAAGTTTTTTGTAACATGCTTCCTTTCCCGAATATTATCATTAAGAACTTGAAAAAGCAACAAATTCATCCAGTTTTCATATTTTCTTACTTTTCTGGATGTTGAAGCATCTAAAAGCAAAAATGCAAGACAGCAATATTGTTAACAATAACATTTGCAATAACTATTGTTCCAAACATTTTTTTATAATATGCTCCGTTTCCCGAATGTTATCATTAACAACTTGAAAAAGCAACAAATACATCCAGTTGTCGTATGTTCCTATTTTTCTGGATGTTGAGGCATCTAAAAGCAAAAGGGCAAGAGAGCAATATTGTTAACAATAACATTTGCAATAACTCTTGTTCCAAAAGTTTTTTTGTAATATACTCCGTTTCCCGAATGTTACCATTAACAACTTGAAACAGCAACAAAGTCATCCAGTTTTGATATTTTCATATTTTTTTCGATATTTACGCATCTGACAGCAAAAGTAATGGAGAGCAATATTGTTAACAATAACATTTGTAATAACTATTGTTCCAAACGTTTTTTGTAACATGCTCCGTTTCCCGAATGTTACCATTAACAACTTGAAAAAGCAACAAATTCATCCAGTTTTCATATTTTCCTACTTTTCTGGATGTTGAAACATCTAAAAGCAAAAGTGCAAGAGAGTAATATTGTTAACAATAACATTTATAATAACTATTGTTCTGAAAGTTCTTTTGTAACATGCTCCATTTCCTGAATGTTACCATTAACAACTTGAAAAAGCAACAAATTCATCCAGTTTTCAAATTTTGATATTTTTCTCGATCTTTACGCATCTGAGAGCAAAAATGCAAGAGAGCAATATTGTTAACAATAATATTTGCAATAACTACTGTTCCAAATGTTCTTTTATAACATACTCCGTTTCCCGAATGTTACCATTAACAACTTGAAAAAGCAACAAATTCATACAGTTTTCATATTTTGATATTTCTTTCGATATTTACGCATCTGAAAGCAAAACTAAAGGAGAGCAATATTGTTAACAATAACATTTGTAATAACTATTGTTCCAAAAGTTTTTTTATAATATGCTCCGTTTCCCGAATGTTACCATTAACAACTTTAAAAAGCAACAAATTCAAACAGTTTTCATATTTTGGTATTTCTTTCGATAGTTACGCATCTGAAAGCAAAACTAAAGGAGAGCAATATTGTTAACAATAACACTTGCAATAACTACTGCTCCAAAAGTTTTTTTATAATACGCTCCGATTCCCGAATGTTACCATTAACAACTTGAAAAATCAACAAATACATCCAGTTTTCATATGTTCCTATTTTTCTGGATGTTGAAACATCTAAAAGCAAAAGTGCAAGAGAGCAATATTGTTAACAATAACATTTGCAATAACTATTGTTCTGAAAGTTCTTTTGTAACATGCTCCGTTTCCTGAATGTTACCATTAACAACTTGAAAAAGCAACAAATTCATCCAGTTTTCAAATTTTGGTATTTTTCTCGATATTTACGCATCTGAGAGCAAAAGTAAAGCAGAGCAATATTGTTAACAATAACATTTGCAATAACTATTGTTACAAAAGTTTTTTGTGTTATGCTCCATTTCCAGAATGTTACCATTAACAACTTGAAAAAGCAACAAATTCATCCAGTTTTCACATTTTCCTACTTTTCTGGATGTTGAAACGTCTAAAAGCAAAAGTGCAAGAGAGCAATATTGTTAACAATAACATTTGCAATAATTATTGTTTCAATAGTTTTTTTGTAACATGCTCCGTTTTCCGAATGTTACTATTAACAACTTGAAAAAGCAACAAATTCATTTAATTTTCATATTTTCCTATTTTTCTAGATGTTGAAGCATCTAAAAGCAAAAGTGCAAGAGAGCAATATTGTTAACAATAACATTTGCAATAACTATTGTTCCAAAAGTTTTTTTGTAATATGCTTTGTTTTACGAATGTTACCATTAACAACTTGAAAAAACAATGAACTCATAAAATTTTCACATTTTGGTATTTTTCTCGATATTTACGCATCTGAGAGCAAAAGTGAAGGAGACCAATATTGTTAAGAATAAAATTTGCTACAACTATTGTTCTAAAAGTTTTTTTTGTAATATGCTCTGTAAAGCGCTAGTTACAGTGTAAATCTAATCATGTACTTCAGAGATTTCATAGATGAATTGTAGGAGTTTCAGTATATGCTTCTTTAAGCTCGTTTAGAATCTTATATTAGGTTTGTTCGGAGAAGCAGTTGCTGACCGATTCGAAACTCGTTTTAAATGCGCATGCGTGATTTGGTATTGGTTGGAAATCGTTCCAAATTGGATGCTCTACAAACAGTCATTTTTAGATCAAAATGTTTGATCGCTGGGCTACCTGACGGAGAATCCGAATAACTTCGTTGTTTTTAGTTTTTGGTTAGGAAGTTAGGTTGGATTAGATTATTAGCTAGTAAATATTGGTAAATATAAATTAAATGAATACCGCAGAAATGACGGAATTCAACGTATTAGATGAAGATTCCAACAAAAGCGTGTTATGGACACGCAAAAGTACTTTGGTGCTACTCGATTTGTACAAGAAACACAGAAAAAGCGTTGGAACGTTAAAAGTGCGAAATTTTAAAAAGATGTGGGAAATTATAGCAATTTTGTTGTTTTGTGTAAATGATTGACGAAATGCGCATGTGTGTCACAAAAATCAGAATAATTTGCAGCTCTGGCAAGAAATTATTCTGACGGTTTGTTTTCAGTTGGAAATCAGTCAGCCAAGTACTACGAACGTATTACGCGATTAGAAAAATCACAAATTTGTCTACTGCGAACACTTAAAACCTAATACGCATGCGTAATAGTAAGCAATCAATCAGGAATCGTTCTCCGAACAAACCTATTAAGAATATTAAAAAGATGTGTTTGGGCGAAAAAAAGTTACCCGGCTCCTCCGCCATTATATTAATAATTGTTATAAAAAAATCTTACCAAATAAAAAAGTTTTCTTTACAACTAATTTTTATCTTTCATTCTTTAATTTAGCAATAAATATGAAATTCGTGAAGAAAAACAAGATTACCGAGTATTTATGTGGTTATTAATAAAATTTTTTTCGGAAGAGGATATAGGAACTTATAATTGCATTTCGACGAATTCGTTGGGAAAAGCGGAAGGGACGTTACGATTATACGGTGAGTTTTTTAAGCTTTTTTAACTTTTTTAACTTTTTCATTTAAAGTTTAGTGGGTATGTTTCGCGGTTGGATTGGATTTCCGTAATTAATATCTACTTGTTACATTTCGAAACTAGTACCGGAACAAAGCGGTACATCGAAACGAAATTTCGTCCCGGTCGGTTTAACAATGGGCTGATTAATATCGGTGAATATCGGGCAAAATATTATTTGTTATGTTGTAAGGTTGATTTGGAACGTACATTTTAATGTAACCGAATATAGCATTCAAATTCGATTAATTTATTTTGAAACGAAAATTTATTCAGGGTTAAAATTTTTTGGGGTAAAGTGTTAATTTTATCGGGGACAAGAACAATAACATCAAATGAAATTGTAAATTTTAATTGTTATAACCCCCGGAACTTTTGACCTGCGAGAGTGTCTCGTTAAAAGTTCTAATGGTGGACCAACTTCGGTTGTGTAATTTCTTTTTTTTATCTCTCTAACAGAGAACAGATTGCTATTGTAGCCCAACTTTTCCTAAATTTCCTATGGGAAATGAACTTATTTCACTCAAAAAACTCCATTTGTTTATCTACACTGGATTAAAAAAAATAATAATGATAAATATGATTTGCTAATTACGTTAAAAGGTTGGTTAAGAGAAAATTTTTAAACTTAACTAAACTTTTAGCTTCTCTCGGCCCCTTCTCGTGCCCAACCCCGGTTTTAATTATCCCATCGTAAAAAAGTTGGTGAGAACCCTATATCGACAAGCTCAACAAGTCGAAAACAGCCGATTGGGGCACAACCTTTGATGTACTTCTCCTCCCATTTTCCTTTTACAACATTTTCTTTTTTAGCCCTTTTACCAAACCTTCAAAAACTTTCTCCTGGATAACTCCTTACGACGTTCGAAGGGATGATTGGAAGCGAATTAAAGTGGCCTTGATTGATGCTGCGGGAAGTTTCCACTAACGATGTTAAAGTTTCTTTGCAGCACGAATTGAGAGACTTTTTGTAATGCTTGAGTTTTTGATACAACAGGTGGTGAAGATTTTCTGATTTAATTTAATAAACTTAAAACACTCGTTTTATTTTTTTGTTGTAACACATTTTTCTTTATTGAACACATTGTGTTTTCAGTTGACTTTGGGTTGTCATTGAAAACAAACAAACCGTAATTTTCTCTCTAATCGTGTTATTCAACGAGACCCACTTAAAGGCTAAGGGCCAAACAGCCGATTTACATAATTGATCGTACCCTCCTTCTACGGTACAACCTCCACGATTACCGGTCCTTTAATTATATGAACCATCGTTGAATTTTGTTCCAGAAATTCGAGTTGAAGATGAAGCTCATGACAATCGAGTTAGTATAGTTGGGGGTAAGTAATTTCTAAATATTCCAAATATTAATAAAAATTGATCATAATACATCACTAAGACTTAATCCATAAACGATTTCGTTCCAACTATTTCGAATTTTTTGTTATAACCCATAAAACCTTAAAATCTCTAAATTAACGTTTTTGGATAAAAGCTTTTTTGTATGCCAAAAACTAAAAATGCTGTGAAAAAATGTTGTTTACGAAAATTGTTTATACTGAACCAACACAATAGTATCCGTAGAAATTTACAATCCAACTATAATTGTTTCAAATAAAGCGAATTAAACATTTCAGAATTAGCATGTTTAACAACTATTCAGTTTTTATCTGGAAAATTAATAACTCTGGGTAGGACTTATTTTAATAAAAATACTTTTTAATACATCACAAAGACTTAATCCATAAACAATTTCTTTCCAACATTTTCGCGTTTTGAGTTATAAATTCCAAACTCCCAGAATCTCTAAATTGTCGTTTTTAGATAAAAATGTTTTATAACTCGAAAACTTAAAGTGCTGGGAGAAAATGTTGTGAATAAAAATTGTTGGTAATGAACCAACATAACATTACCCATAAGCATTTATAATCTAAATATAATCATTACCAACCTAGCAGATTTAAATTCCTGAACGTTTCAAATTTAGCATTTATTAACAACATGGAATTTACTTCAAAATCTAAAAATCTTGGATGGGAATGATATTAATAAAAATTGTTCACAATAAATCATAAAGACTTAATCCACAAACGATTTCGAGTTTTTTGTTATAACCTAAACAATATTGAAATTTCTAAATCAACGTTTTCTGATAAAACTCTTTCTATAACCCGAAACCTAAAAATGGTAGGAAAAAATGTTATGGACGAAAATTGTTTATAATGAACCGACATAACTTTATGCATAAGTGTTTTTAACTCAAATTTGATCATTACCAACCTACCGGATTTAATATCTAAAACATTTAAAATTTAACACATCAAATAACATAATTTATATCTCAAGAATGAAATGTTGTGGATGTGATTAGTGTTAATAAAAATTGTTTATAATTCATCATAAAGCCATAATCTATAAAGAATTTCCTTTCAATATTTTCGCAATTTTAGTTGTTTCCCGAATTTAAATTCAAGTTAAATTGGATAAAAAAATTCGTAACCCGAAAACTGCAAATGTTAGAAAAAAATGTTATAGATGAAAATTGTTTGTAATGAACCGAATTAATGTTATCCATAAGCGTTTGTAACACAAATATAATCATTACTAACCTAGAGGATATAATGTCCCAAATATCCCAACTTAGCTTGTTTAACAACTTTATAGTTTTTATCTCAACAATAAAATCTGTTACATGCGAATGTTTTTAATAAAGATTGTTCATAGTACATCACGAAAACATAATCCATAAACAATTTTAGTCCAGCTATTTCTGATGTTCAGTTATAACTAATAAAAGCTTAGTATCTCTAAATTGATGTTTTTGGATAAAAGCTTGTTTGTAAGCCAAATACTAAAAATGCTGGGAAAAAATGTTTACGAAAATTGTTTATATTGAACCAACACAGAGTAGAAATTTACAACCCAACTATAATTATTACAAAAAAGGCGGATTAAATGTTTAAAACATTTCAAAATTAGCACGTTTAACGACTATTTAGTTTTTATCTGGAAAATTAATAACTCTGGGTAGGACTTATTTTAATAAAAATTCTTTTTAATACATCACAAAGACTTAATCCATAAACAATTTCTTTCCAACATTTTCGCATTTTGAGTTATAAATTCAAACGTCCAGAATCTCTAAATTGGCGTTTTAAGATAAAAATATTTTATAACCCGAAAATTGTAAGTGCTGGGAAATAATGTTGTGAATAAAAATTGTTGGGAATGAACCAACATAACATTACCCATAAGTATTTACAACCTAAATATAATCATTACCAACCTAGCAGATTTAAATTCCTAAACGTTTCAAATTTAGCATTTATTAGCGATATCGAATTTATATCAAAACCTAAAAATCTTCGGTGGGAATGATATTAATAAAAATTGTTCACAATAAATCATAAAGACTTAATCCACAAACGATTTCGTTCCAACTATTTCGAATTTTTTGTTATAACCTAAACAATATTGAAATCTCTAAATCAACGTTTTCTGATAAATCTCTTACTATAACCCGAAATCTAAAAATGGTAGGAAAAAATGTTATGGACGAAAATTGTTTATAATGAACCGACATAACATTATGCATAAACATCTTTAACTCAAATTTGATCATTACCAACCTAGCGAATTTAATGTCTGAAACATATAAAATTCAACACATTAAATAACAACATAATTTACATCTCGTGAATTAAAAGTTGTGGATGTGATTAGTGTTAATAAAAATTGTTTATAATTCATCATAAAGCCATAATCTATAAAGAATTTCCTTTCAATATTTTCGCAATTTTAGTTGTTTCGTTGTTTGAAAACTGCAAATGTTAGAAAAAAATGTTATAGATGAAAATTGTTTGTAATGAACCGACTTAATGTTATCCATAAGCGCTTGTAACAAAAATATAATCATTACTAACTTAGTGAATATAATGTCCCAAATAACCAAACTTGGTATGTTTAACAACTATATAGTTCTTATCTCAACAATTAAAAGTTGTTACATGCGAATGTTTTTAATAAATATTGTTTATGATACATCCCGAAAACATAATCCATAAACAATTTTATTCCAGCTATTTCTTATTTTCAGTTATAACTAATAAAACCTTAATATCTCTAAATTGATGTTTTTGGATAAAAGTTTTTTTGTAAGCCAAATACTAAAAATGCTGGGAAAAAATGTTTACGAAAATTGTTTATGTTGAACCAACACAGAGTAGAAATTTACAACCCAACTATAATTATTACAAAAAAGGCGGATGAAATGTTTAAAACATTTCAAAATCAGCACATTTTACGANGATATTGCTAATAAATGCTAAATTTGAAACGTTTAGGAATTTAAATCCGCTAGGTTGGTAATAATTATATTTAGGTTATAAATGCTTATGGATAATGTTAAGTTGATTCATTACCAATTTTTGTTATAATCTAAAAAATATTGAAATCTCTAAATCAACGTTTTCTGATAAAATTCTTTCTATAACACGAAATCTAAAAATGGTAGAAAAAAATGTTATGGACGAAAATTCTTTATCATGAACCGACATAACATTATGCATAAGCGTTTTTAACTCAAATTTGATCATTACCAACCTAGCGGATTTAATGTCTGAAACATATAAAATTCAACACATTAAATAACAACATAATTTATATCTCGAGAATGAAATGTTGTGGATATGATTAGTGTTAATAAAAATTGTTTATAATTCATCATAAAGCCATAATCTATAAAGATTTTCCTTCCAATATTTTCGCAATTTTAGTTATTCCCCGAATCTAAATTCAATCTAAATTGTATAAAACAATTCGTAACCCGAAAACTGCAAATGTTAGAAAAAAATGTTATAGATGAAAATTGTTTGTAATGAACCGACCTAATGTTATCCATAAGGGCTTGTAACAAAAATATAATCATTACTAACTTAGTGAATATAATGTCCCCAATAACCAAACTTGGTATGTTTAACAACTATATAGTTTTTATCTCAACAATTAAAAGCTGCTACATGCGAATGTTTTTAATAAAGATTGTTCATGATACATCCCGAAAACATAATCCATAAACAATTTTATTCCAGCTATTTCTGATTTTCAGTTATAACTAATAAAATCTTAATATCTCTAAATTGATGTTTTGAATAAAAGCTTGTTTGTAAGCCAAATACTAAAAATGCTGGGAAAAAATGTTTACGAAAATTGTTTATATTGAACCAACACAGAGTAGAAATTTACAACCCAACCATAATTATTACAAAAAAGGCGAATTAAATGTTTAAAACATTTCAAAATTAGCACGTTTAACGACGATTCAGTTTTTATCTGGAAAATTAATAACTCTGGATAGGACTCATCTTAATAAAAATTCTTTTTAATACATCACAAAGACTTAATCCATAAACAATTTCTTTCCAACATTTTCGCATTTTTAGTTATAAATTCCAAACTTCCAGAATCTCTAAATTGGTGTTTTTAGATAAAGATATTTTATAACTCGAAAACTAAAAGTGCTGGGAAATAATGTTGTGAATGAAAATTGTTGGTAATGAATCAACTTAACATTATCCATAAGCATTTATAACCTAAATATAATTATTACCAACCTAGCGGATTTAAATTCCTAAACGTTTCAAATTTAGCATTTATTAGCAGTATCGAATTTATATCAAAACCTAAAAACCTTGGGTGGGAATGATATTAATACAAATTGTTCAAAATATATCACAAAGACTTAATCCACAAACGATTTCGTTCCAACTATTTCGAATTTTTTGTTATAATCTAAAAAATATTGAAATCTCTAAATCAACGTTTTCTGATAAAATTCTTTCTATAACACGAAATCTAAAAATGGTATGAAAAAATGTTGTGGATGAAAATTGTTTATCATGAACCGACATAACATTAACATAATGATTATATTTTTGTTACAAGCCCTTATGGATAACATTAGGTCGGTTCATTACAAACAATTTTCATCTATAACATTTTTTTCTAACATTTGCAGTTTTCGGGTTACGAATTGTTTTATCAAATTTAGATTGAATGTAGATTAGGGGAATAACTAAAATTGCGAAAATATTGGAAGGAAATTTTTTATAGATTATGGCTTTATGATGAATTATAAACAATTTTTATTAATACTAATCACATCCAAAACATTTCATTCTTGAGATATAAATTATGTTATTTGATGTGTTAAATTTTAAATGTTTCAGATATTAAATCCGCTGGGTTGGTAATGATCAAATTTGAGTTAATAACGCTTATGGATAACGTTATATCGATTCATTATAAACAATTTTCATCCACAACATTTTTTCCTACCATTTTTAGGTTTTGGGTTATAGAAAGAGTTTTATCAGAAAACGTTGATTTAGAAATTTCAATATTGTTTAGGTTATAACAAAAAACTCGAAATAGTTGGAACGAAATCGTTTGTGGATTAAGTCTTTGTGATATATTTTGAACAATTTGTATTAATATCATTCCCACCCAAGGTTTTTAGGTTTTAATATAAATTCGATATTGCTAATAAATGCTAAATTTGAAACGTTTAGGAATTTAAATCCGCTAGGTTGGTAATAATTATATTTAGGTTATAAATGCTTATGGATAATGTTAAGTTGATTCATTACCAATTTTTGTTATAATCTAAAAAATATTGAAATCTCTAAATCAACGTTTTCTGATAAAATTCTTTCTATAACACGAAATCTAAAAATGGTAGAAAAAAATGTTATGGACGAAAATTCTTTATCATGAACCGACATAACATTATGCATAAGCGTTTTTAACTCAAATTTGATCATTACCAACCTAGCGGATTTAATGTCTGAAACATATAAAATTCAACACATTAAATAACAACATAATTTATATCTCGAGAATGAAATGTTGTGGATATGATTAGTGTTAATAAAAATTGTTTATAATTCATCATAAAGCCATAATCTATAAAGATTTTCCTTCCAATATTTTCGCAATTTTAGTTATTCCCCGAATCTAAATTCAATCTAAATTGTATAAAACAATTCGTAACCCGAAAACTGCAAATGTTAGAAAAAAATGTTATAGATGAAAATTGTTTGTAATGAACCGACCTAATGTTATCCATAAGGGCTTGTAACAAAAATATANAACCGACATAACATTATGCATAAACATCTTTAACTCAAATTTGATCATTACCAACCTAGCGAATTTAATGTCTGAAACATATAAAATTCAACACATTAAATAACAACATAATTTACATCTCGTGAATTAAAAGTTGTGGATGTGATTAGTGTTAATAAAAATTGTTTATAATTCATCATAAAGCCATAATCTATAAAGAATTTCCTTTCAATATTTTCGCAATTTTAGTTGTTTCGTTGTTTGAAAACTGCAAATGTTAGAAAAAAATGTTATAGATGAAAATTGTTTGTAATGAACCGACTTAATGTTATCCATAAGCGCTTGTAACAAAAATATAATCATTACTAACTTAGTGAATATAATGTCCCAAATAACCAAACTTGGTATGTTTAACAACTATATAGTTCTTATCTCAACAATTAAAAGTTGTTACATGCGAATGTTTTTAATAAATATTGTTTATGATACATCCCGAAAACATAATCCATAAACAATTTTATTCCAGCTATTTCTTATTTTCAGTTATAACTAATAAAACCTTAATATCTCTAAATTGATGTTTTTGGATAAAAGTTTTTTTGTAAGCCAAATACTAAAAATGCTGGGAAAAAATGTTTACGAAAATTGTTTATGTTGAACCAACACAGAGTAGAAATTTACAACCCAACTATAATTATTACAAAAAAGGCGGATGAAATGTTTAAAACATTTCAAAATCAGCACATTTTACGACCATTCAGCTTTTATCTGGGAAATTAATAACTCTAGATAGGACTCATCTTAATAAAAATTCTTTTTAATACATCACAAAGACTTAATCCATAAACAATTTCTTTCCAACATTTTCGCATTTTCAGTTATAAATTCCAAACGTCCAGAATCTCTAAATTGGCGTTTTTAGATAAAGATATTTTATAACTCGAAAACTAAAAGTGCTGGGAAATAATGTTGTGAATGACAATTGTTGGTAATGAATCAACTTAACATTATCCATAAGCATTTATAACCTAAATATAATTATTACCAACCTAGCGGATTTAAATTCCTATAGGTTTCAAATTTAGCATTTATTAACAACATGGAATTTATTTCAAAAACTAAAAATCTTGGATGGGAATGATATTAATAAAAATTGTTCACAATAAATCGTAAAGACTTAATCCACAAACGATTTCGTTCCAACTATTTCAAATTTTTTGTTATAATCTAAAAAATATTGAAATCTCTAAATCAACGTTTTCTGATAAAATTCTTTCTATAACACGAAATCTAAAAATGGCAGGAAAAAATGTTATGGATGAAAATTGTTTATAATGAATCGATATAACATTATCCATAAGCGCTATTAACTTAAATTTGATCATTACCAACCTACCGGATTAAATATCTGAAACATTTAAAATTTAACACATTAAATACCAAAATAATTTATATTTCGAGAATTAAATGTTGTGGATGTGATTAGTCTTAATAAAAATTGTTTATAATTCATCATAAAGCCATAATCTATAAAAAATTTCCTTCCAATATTTTCGCAATTTTAGTTATTCCCCTAATCTACATTCAATCTAAATTTGATAAAACAATTCGTAACCGGAAAACTGCAAATGTTAGAAAAAAATGTTATAGATGAAAATTGTTTGTAATGAACCGACCTAATGTTATCCATAAGGGCTTGTAACAAAAATATAATCATTACTAACTTAGTGAATATAATGTCCCCAATAACCAAACTTTTTATGTTTAACAACTATATAGTTTTTATCTTAACAATTAAAAGCTACTACATGCGAATGTTTTTAATAAAGATTGTTTATGATACATCCCGAAAACATAATCTATAAGCAATTTTATTCCAGCTATTTCGGATTTTCACTTATAACTAATAAAACCTTAAAATCTCTAAATTGACGTTTTTGGGTAAAAGCTTTTTTGTAAGCCAAAAACTAAAAATGCTGGGAAGAAATGTTGTTTACGAAAATTGTTTATACTGAACCAACACAATAGTATCCGTAGAAATTTACAATCCAACTATAATTATTACAAAAAAAGCGGATTAAATGGTTAAAACATTTCAAAATTAGCACGTTTAACGACCATTCAGTTTTTTATCTGGGAAATTAATATCTCTGCATAGGACTCATCTTAATAAAAATTCTTTTTAATACATCACAAAAACTTAATCCATAAACAATTTCTTTGCAACATTTTCGCATTTTGAGTTATTGTTTAAATTGGGTTTTTTAAACAAAAATATTTTATAAATTGAAAACTGAAAATGATAGGAAAATATGTTGTTAATAAAAATTGTTGGTAATGAACCAACATAACATTACCCATAAGCATTTATAACCTAAATATAATCATTACCAACCTAGCAGATTTAAATTCCTAAACGTTTCAAATTTAGCATTTATGAACAATACGGAATTTATTTCAAAAACTAAAAACCTTTGATGGGAATGATATTAATAAAAATTGTTCACAATATATCACAAAGACTTAATCCACAAACGATTTCATTCCAACATTTTCGCATTTTCAGTTATAAATTCCAAACGCCCAGAATCTCTATATTTCCGTTTTTAGACAAAAATGCTTTATAACTCAAAAACTTAAACTGCTTGGAAAAAATTTTGTGAATAAAAATTGATGGGAATGAACCAACATAACATTACCCATCAGCATTTATAACCTAAATTTATTTTAAAAACTAAAAATCTTGGATGGGAATAATATTAATAAAAATTGTTCATAATACATCACAAAGACTTAATCCACAAACGATTTCATTCCGTTCACTTCGTATTCTTAGAAAAGCTTCTTTGTATTCAAATGTGTCATAAATAAGCGATATAGCTACAAAATTGTGTTTAGGAGTGATTTGTTAACCACTTCTCTAAACCGGGAATGTTATTTCAGTATGATAGGCACTTCTGTCGACTTGCAAACTTGAAGACAACTGACTGCGAGCGTTTATCTCTGCGTTTGTGGTGTTTCCGGCTTTGCTCAAGGCCGTAAACTACCCGTGTTCGTAGTGATAAGATAATATTTACCCTTTACATGTGCACACAGTTGGCTTCAGCTAGTTGTAATTCTAACGGTTCCATTAAATAAATATAAATTAAACCAAAACATTTCAAAATCATTTTATAACAAATTTCTCTTTTAGGTTTAACAGAATCAACTCGAGGACAAAAACCATATCGATCATCATCATCAGTTAATTCGCCTCAATCAAGACTTTTTTGTTGGTTTTTATTTAATTTTTTATACTTTATAAGGTGACAAATTAGTTTTTAAGTAAAATTTGAATAAAAAAATCGATTTTTGTCAATTTTTTGATTGTATAACTGTGATAATTTGTTTAAAACTGGGATTTTGGGGGGATTCTTACACACGTTCGATGTTGTTCAAGGCTGTAAATATAAGAAAAGAAGTCGTTGTGGAGCCGTTTTTAACACTAACGTAAAACGTGTAAGGTTTTTGTATAAAAAAAACTGTTTTGAGTTGAGACTGAGCTTAGATGAGAGAAATAGTGCCAAAGAAATGAGTAAGGAAAAAACAAAAATGCACAAAAAAAATTAAAAAAATAAAAAATAATATTAAAAAAAAATTGTTAAACAATAAGTGTTGTATAAAAATGAATCATATTAGATTGGTCGCACATTTTCGAGTTGAATCAATAAATCCGCTGATCCAAACCGACCCTAAGCGTTTTATTTCGTAACTTATTTCCGGACTTTGGGGGTGGATGGTGGGTGGTGAAAAATAGACGATGGGCGAAGGGTTGCCAAATTTATGACTGGAGCCGCTTATTTGTAAATGCATTTTTCATCCAAACTGCCACCCCGATCATCCGTTTTATAAATCAATGTCACCCACGAAGAAGGAACGGGAGAAATAAGAGGTAAGTTTTTCTTTGTACAAAATCGATTCTACTCTCGAAAATTATGATATTAATTGAGAACTAAAAGTTTACTTTTCCAATGTATTTTTAAAGAACGATTTAGAAAATAGAAACAGAGGCGAAGTTGAAACCAAGCTGTAAATTTCAAAACGTTAACTACGCGAATTCACGTTTTGCTACGAAGCTTTTAGAAACAATGTAACGGAACGAGGAAAATCGTGGCGGAGTAGTTGTACATAGCAGTTCGATGTAGTGCTGTTCTAGGAAAACTTTTAACGAATATTTCAACGAGAAACGCTTCAACAATCCCGAAATATAACAATAAGGTGTTGAAGGGGTTGTTAAATTTAAGATGTTAAGTTTAAAAATTTATTTTTTTATAAAAGTGAATTTGTGCGAGATATCTTCTCTAAGTAGATATTGAAAGAAAAATAAGAAATGATACGTCGAGGTTGAAAGGAGGGTGGAATAAGGCAAACAGGTGTCTGGTGTAAGGTAAGTGTTCGGAATCCTTTTTGTCAGCAGGCTTTGTAGACCGAGCCATCTTTATTGACTTTACGTTGAAAGACTCTTTTTCTAGCCAAACAGAATTTCCGGATTTCATATTGTAGGTACATAAATAAGAAATCTTTAAGGATGAAGAAGGGAATGAAGTTGCAAATATCAAACCAGTTTATATTCTTAGTTATATCTTCAACGCATCCTGTCTTTATTGATTTTTTATTGCCATGTAATTCATTGCACAACTTTATTGACATTATCTATTTTTTTAGAAGATCGACTTATGAAATAAAATTTGATTAAACATTGGAATGTTTGTGCTCGTAGCTTTTGTGGTGTCGCAACTTGAATAAAGCCGAGGTCACTTGTGACCGAGGCGCTACATCGATACCAATCTAAAAGTGGTCTTTATCAAAACGAGTTTATCAGATGAAGACTTGACTATGCCCAAGTCGCTTGCGATCGACAAGCTGGTAGCAGTACAATTAATATTATATCACTGAAATCGAACAGCACAGTAACGCCACGGCTTAATCCTTTGAGTCTTAGTGGTTATCGCCGGTAAGTCTAGTTCCTACCACGTATAAAGTGCAACGATATAAGCCATCAGTTGTGGAAATTTTGTGACAGAATTAAAACGCTATCAAAATACACTCAGTAAAGGCCTTTGGAATCAATTTTAGCAAAATATGCAATCCCCCCATTCCAGGGGAATAATGGTACTTGAGACTACCGTCAAGCATTAAAATATATTTTAGTTATGTTGCAGTATACAAAACCTTTTATTGCCAATATAAAAATAATACATTTTTTATTACGTTAGAAAATAAGTAACACTTGCTTTAGCTAAATCACATTATGATATTCAGAAAAACAGTTTTTTCTTTCATTACAACATAAATAAATATTGCACGCAGTACATTTTGAGTGGAGTCTAGCTTTGGCAGAACAATTTTCACAAGTTCCTCTTTCTTTTGAACTTGCGCTACGACACTTTCGTGAACGCAGTAAATTCGTATATTTATTTATCAGACCTGTAGCTACAAAACGACGAAAATCTGATAGAATATTGAGAAAAAACATATTGAGCAAAAACTTACATTTTTGTATAAGCTAAAAGTGTCAAAAAAGATGCTAATTTAAAAATTTCTGAAAGCCGTATTTATTGAAATTAAGGAATGAGACTTGTTCTAAATTAAAGCTGAAAGCTTTCTCTTTAAAATAATGTATAATAATTGTTGGGTTGCATTGGAAAAATATTGAGAGAAAAAATGTTGAAACTAAACATACATTTTCGAATAACCTAAACGTGTCAAAAAAAGATGCTAATTTAAAAATTCCTAGAAGCCGTACTTATTGAAATTAAGGAATGAGACTTGTTCTAAATTAAAGCTGAAAGCTTTCTCTTTAAAATGATTTATAATCATTGTTGGGTTGGATTGAAAAAATATTAAGAAAAAAAATGTTGAAACAAAACTTACATTTTTCTATAACCTAAAAGTGTCAAAAAAGATGCTAATTTAAAAATTCCTGGAAGCCGTATTTATTGAAATTAAGGAATGAGACTTGTTCTAAATTAAAGCTCAAAGCTTTCTCTTTAAAATGATGTATAATAATTGTTGGGTTGGATTGGAAAAATATTGAGAAAAAAAATGTTGAAACAAAACTTACATTTTCGTATAACCTAAAAGTGTCAAAAAAGATGCTAATTTAAAAATTCCTGGAAGCCGTATTTATTGAAATTAAGGAATGAGACTTGTTCTAAATTAAAGCTCAAAGCTTTCTCTTTAAAATGATGTATAATAATTGTTGGGTTGGATTGGAAAAGTATTGAGAAAAGAAATGTTGAAACAAAACTTAAATTTTCGAATAACCTAAACGTGTCAAAAAAAGATGCTAATTTAAAAATTCCTGGAAGCCGTATTTATTGAAATTAAGGAATGAGACTTGTTCTAAATTAAAGCTCGAAGCTTTCTCTTTAAAATAATGTATAATAATTGTTGGGTTGGGTTGGAAAAATATTAAGAAAAAAAATGTTGAAACAAAACTTACATTTTCGTATAACCTAAAAGTGTCAAAAAAGATGGAAATTAAAAAATCCTGGAAGCCGTATTTATTGAAATTATGGAATCAGACTTGTTCTAAATTAAAGCTCAAAGCTTTCTCTTTAAAATGATGTATAATAATTGTTGGGTTGGATTGGAAAAATATTGAGAAAAAAAAAGTTGAAACGAAACTTCCATTTTCGTATAACCCAAAAGTGTCAAAAAAATGCTAATTTAAAAATTCCTGGAAGCCGTATTTATTGAAATTAAGGAATCAGACTTGTTCTAAATTAAAGCTCAAAGCTTTCTCTGTAAAATGATGTATAATAACTGTTATACACTGAGGGAAATTATTCTTGACTCTCAAGAAAAATTGATTCTTGGATGTATTTCTTATAAACAAGTATAAGATACGCTTAAAACAAAAATATTTTTTTGTTTTAAGAATAGAAATGTTATCGAATGAAGTATGTCATATTCTTAGCATCGAAGAATATCATTTTTTTGCATCAAAACATCCATTCTTGCGTCAATAATTTATAACACTCAAATGAAGAATTATACAAGATTGTTGTTACATGAATAAGTTTTTCTAAAAAGAATGATACATTATTCTTGACTTAAGAAATCTATTCTCGATACGAAAATGGGATTGTTGACGTAATACTAAGATACTCTTTACAAGATTATTGATTTAATTTTACTAAGAATTCGTTTTCTTGAGAATCAAGAATATTTGTATACTTGCTTTGAGAATATGTGGTTTTTCTTCACTCAACAAAATGATCTTCTTGTGGATATATAAGAATATGATAAGCTTGAGCCAAGAGTAATAATCTTCCTTCAAGAATATATTTCTCTCTGTGTACTGTTACACTTAGCACAATTGTCACATGTCCACTTAAAATTAGCACTAGATCTCAGTAATCACTGGCGGGTTAACCCAAACATGCAATGGCAAAGCAACTATCGCAGACAAAATATTTAACAAAATCTCCGTCGTTACATTTAGTATTACAACATTTGCAAGCAGGCATTGCGGTCTTAAGTGAGCGAAAATTAGACAAAAATACAAAAAAGAGAAAAAAAAAAGAAAAACGGGAAAACATAGGGAAAAAACGCGCTTCACTCCACGGGGTCCGTCGTGGAGACTTTTAAATACAAGGAAAAACTGGACCACTGCACGGATACACCAGGAGGCAAAGTATAAGTATAAGCGAGACAGAAAAGTGGTTTATCAAGCAGGAAGTTATTCGTTGCTATAAAATATTTATCGGAAAAAACATTAAATAACGCACTTACAAGCACAGATATCGATAAGGTCCTGATAAAACAGTGATCCCAAACGTGCAAGGAATCACTCAGACGTCACAAAATACGAAGCACCATAAACGCAGGTGTGCACCTTCTTCCAACGAGGTATATCTCGAATATACAAGTATACATTTTTATGCTATACTTGGCTGGTTTCTATGGCATATACAATTGTACAAATCCGCATCTACCTCGAAATGGATGTAGCATCCCATTTATTGTAACAAATTCTCCCAAACTGTAATTATTCATGCAATTCTTCACAAAACTATCCTTTCGATCCTTTCTAGTTCTTACATCGTCAAAACGTAAAGCGCGAAGTATAAACAAAAAGCTCTTATAACTAAATGCAACCCTCAGTCTTGTCATTCCAGTGCCATATTTGCTCCATAATTCATGGACATTTCAGTGATTTCAAAGCTACAAAGCTTGAATTTCGATACGGCAAGTTAATTTATAATCTCCATCTTTTTGGTAGATAATTTCTGATCCTCTAATCTCAATATATATATTTATGTAAGATAGAATATTGTCAATCATGTTCTTCGTTACAAACATAAAAAAGGTTCTAAACAATTTGGACATCATTTTGACAACAGAATACCGCAAATCAGCAACACACACTTTGATGCTTCACATCAAACTGACTAGTAGAGCCCAAAAACGTGTGATTGCTGCATTAACTATTGCCTAAGATAGCCAACTAAACATACTTAGGGTGCCCAGTGGGTTGCGACTAACCATATTTATAATATCACATCAAAATGGAAAAAGCGGTACAAAGTGCCGCTGCTCGCCAAAGGCTCAATAAAAAATAATATGACAACCTCAAACTGGCAATTGTATCTCAGTAACGCATCTAGCTACATTTACCTCATTGGTTTCCTGATTGACATAATTTCCTTTTCTCTTATTTTAGTCAAAAATTGATGTGTTCA